GACCCGGATGCGGCCTCGCCATTGGCGGGCCGATGTACGTCCCGTGACATGACTGGCTGCCAGGGGCGCCGGTCAAGCGAACGGAAGAAGAGCCGACTTCCGGCTTCTGGACCGCCCCGCCCGCCTCTCCTCTGACCCTGGTGCTGAAGCTGCGAGAAGAGATGCCCAAAGCCTGCATCCCGCTTCCTGCCTCTTGGAGCCCGAGACGCGCGGATGCGTGGAAGCCCAACTCGAGATGAGCGCGCACGGCAGCTCCAAGAGCGGACCCCAGGTCTGCTTTAATCCAGGTGTAGTAGTTTCCTCCTCTGAAAAACGTTACCCACGTTGTAAATCCATAACCGTGCAAATGAGCCGAGCGCGGTGGCTCACGCCTGTCATCCCAGGCGAGAGCAGGGGTTCGAGACCAGCCTGGACAACACGGTGAGACCTCGTCTCTACAGATCATGGCTGAGGCACAAGGATCCCCTGAGCCCAGGAGGTCCAGGCTGCAGTGGCTGTGAGTGTGCCACTGCACTCCAGCCTGGGCGACAGAGTGAGATTACGGTTCAAACAAAATAATTGTTTCCTCTGTTTCTATGAAATCATCTAATTTTTTAAAGTATTTGACAGTCGTAGACGCCACGACACTCCAGCCTTAAATACTTCATCCCTTATATCTCTTGTAGAGACGGCGTCTCGACAACAGACACAGGACCCCGTATATTCGATTGATGTCTGTTGGCCGCCCCGACCTCATCCTCCCATTGTCACCTCCACCCCACTTTCTTCTGACCTCAAACATCTCAATCCTGCTCCCCGGGTCTTTGCATAAACGGTTCCTAAGTTCACAGCCAAATCAGCACCTTCCCCTAGAAGAATCTCTGCCTTGGACCTAAACAGCATGTTCATTCATATATATGACTTTTTTTTTTTTGGTTGGGGTCTCACTCTGTCACCCAGACTAAAGGGAATAGTATGACCACAACTCACTGCAGCCTTGACTTCCTGGGTTCAAGCCATCCTCCTGCCTCGGCCTCCCCATAAGCTGGGAATACAGGTGAAAGCCACCATGCCTGGCTAAATTTTTTTATCTTGGTTTTGTTTTTTGAGTAGAGGTCTGGCACCCAACCTGGAGTGTAGTGGTACATTCACAGCCACCGCAGCTTCAACCTGCTGGGCTCAGGCCATCCTCCTGCCTCCATTTTCCAAGTAGCTAGAACTAGGCGTGGTAGCCCGCGCCTGGCCAATTTTTTTGGTTGATTGTAGAGGTGATGTCCCGCCGAGTGGCCCAGGCTGTTGTCAAACCTCTGGGCTCACTCAGGCCATTCTCTTGCCTCCACCTCCCAAAGTGCTGGGATTACAGGTGTGAACCACTGCACCCAGCTTTAGTTTTTGTAGGGATGAGGTCTCACTATGTTGCCTAGGCTAGTCTGGAACTCAAGCAATCCTCTTGTCTCAGCCTCTCTAAGTAGTCCATGCCCAGCCCTAATGGCATTTTATACTGGCTTACCTTTCCAAAGAAACTCTTCTAAAATTCCTTCATGTTTACTAGTCAATATAGATTAACCCTTTGTACTTGGATGTCCCCTCTGAGGGGATACATAAATCAACAAATCACTCAGTACACCCTCTCAGGGAACATAGATTGCTGGGAACATAGATTACAGGACCAACTTAGGCCAGCGCAAATTTTTCAAAACTGTGTTCCTTGAAGTCTTCCAAATTGCAGAAAAACGCACTGAAGATGGAACATATACAGAAATATGTTAAATACTTCAAGCAAGTCGGATAATAAATTACATATTAACAGCCGGGCTCGGTGGCTCAGCCTGTAGTACCGTGCTTTGGGAGGCTGAGGTGAGTGAATTGCCTGAGCCCGCGGGTTCGAGACCCGCCTGGGCAACTTGGCGAGACCTCATCTCTACAATAATCAAAAAACTAGCCGGGCGTGGTATCGCGCGCCTGTAGTTCCAGCTCCTTGGAAGGCTGAGGCGGAAGGATCGCCAGAGCCCAGCAGGTCCAGGCTGCGGTGGCCGGGAGTGGCTACCGCATTCCAGCCTGGGTGACAGAGTGAGACTCCAACTCAAAAAAAAAAAAAAAAAAATTACATATTAACATGGGAGGAAGAAAACGAGCCTTCATTGTCTGCTCGAATGGAAAAACACCAGAAGACAACAAACCAATTACTATCACACACACCGTTGAACCTGCTACGCGTGCTGGGGACTTTGACACGTTACGTTAGAAAAACATGAAATTTTGACTTGTCATAAATCAGTTCCTCAATGTCGAAAACTCAACTATAAACCAAATGTCACAATAAACTAACTGGCTTAATTGCCATACCATTTTAAATGAAGGGATTTGCCTTTCAGTTTTGGAAAAAGGTGCACTTGCGTTGCTGATAGGTGACCCAAGAGATGTTGCCACAGAATATGATCCTCTTTATTGAAAACAGAAAACAGACCAAGTTGCCCTCTATGCTTTGATCGCTAGGAAGCACAGCCCAACTCAACCACTGAAAGCCACCCTTCAGGGCAGGCCCACTGCTCCCCGCCAACCGCCAAGGCCATACCAACCCACCAACCCACCTGCCTTAGAGAACCAAGCTGGTGAGCAAGAGTAGAATCTACCAGAACCTGCAGCTACCAAGACCTCTTCTCATTTTGGAAACTAGGTGAGGCCTCCGCCACACTTGAGGTGCCATGTTCAGAACCAGGGGGCTCCCAGCACGCTTCTCAAAACAGAGGTGTTCACGGCGTACTGATGGGACAGAAGCTGAGTACACCAGTATCTGAGAGGGCTGCCTAGGCCCACCACGTCCAACCCCCCAGTTCCCCTCTAGTTAAGTCCAACTATCAAAACATATTAAGGCTGGGCTTGGTGCCTCAGCCTGTAATCCCAGCACTTTGTAAGCCTGTGGGTTCGAGACCAGCCTGGGCTGACTTAGCGAGACCTGTACTACTATAAATCAAGAATTAGCGGGGCATGGTAGTGAACGTCTATAGTTGCGGCCACTTAAAATGTTGAAGTGGAAGGGTCGGTGGAGCCCAGCAGTCAACGCTGGGATAGCCTTGAGCATGCCATGGCACTCCAGCAGGGGCAACAGAGGCTCCAACTCAAAAGAAAAAACGTGGCAGCGCGTGCCTGTAATTCCAGCTACTTGGAAGACTGAGGCGGAAGGATCGCCAGAGCCCAGCAGGCCGAGGCTGCGGTGGGTGGCTGGGAATGGCCACTGCACTCCAGGTCTGGGCGACAGAGTGAGACTGCAACTCAAAAAAATAAAAAATTTAAAAATACTAAAATCGGCCCAAGGCAACCTCTTCAGATCCCCTCCCACTGTGGGAGCTTTTCTGTCCACTCAAATCCTTTCGAGGGAAGGAAAAAAAAAAGGCCCGGTGAGGCGGCTCACAGCTGTGAGCCCAGCACTCAGGGAGGATTGCAGGAGTTCAAGACCAGCCCGGACAACATAGCAAGAATCAAAACAAGTGAGGTGGCACACAGCTCTAGTCCCAACTTCTTGGGGAAGGGGTAGGGATAAGGCGAAAGGACTACCTGAACCCAGAAGACTGAGGCAACAGTGAACCGTCATCCAGCCACTGCACTCCAGCCTGGGCAACAGTGAGACTTTTGACTCAAAATTTTTTTTTTCTGAGTTGGAGTCTCACTGTTGCTCCGACTGGAGTGCAGTGGCCACTTCCGGCCACCGCAGCCTCAACCTGCTGGGCTCCGGCGATCCTTCCACATAGCTGGAACTACAGGCTCATTTTGATTTATTGTGGAGATGAGGTCTTGCCAAGTTGCCAGGCAGGTCTCGAACCCGCGGGCTCAGGCAATCCACAAACCTCAGCCTCTCAAAGGCACGGGATTACAGGCTGAGCCACCAAGTTCGGCTTGACTCAAATTTTAAAAATGCATTAAAGATCACATGAAATTTCAGCAACCCAGTTCCTCTGCACAGCAGACATACAAAGTCCCACCATTCCAGAATATTCCAGGAAGCAGCACTGGGTACTGACGCAGTCCGAGACGGCATCTGACACCTGCCCTCTCCCCATCAAGAGCAGTGTGGTCAGCACGAGCCCAGCAGGGACAGCCCTAGTCCCCTGCAAAGACACCATGACAACGAAGGGAATGTGGTCACCACCATGCCGAATTTATTATTCCAATGGCACGAATACAGTGGAGGTGCTGATGGTGACCCAGCACAGGACTGGCTTCCTGTCTTCTAGAAAGGTCTGCCCGCTTGCTCCTTCCCCTTACTGGGGCAAAAGCCACCACGGGCCATGTACCCAAATAAACCTCTTGATGCATTTATTTTAACTTTTTGGACATCTGAGTTTCCCGCTGAAGAAATGGCAAAGAACTGGGTGTCCCACCCGCCTCCCCCTCCCCTCGGCCCAAGGAGTCCCTGCAGAGAGGGTATTTCTGCGGCCTCTGGAATCTGGAAATAAATATCGAACGATGGCACCGAGTGCCAGGTGGGCCCTGGCGCTCGGTGGCCCAGGCCCCCAGGTGGGGATGGCGGTGTCGGGACAGTCTCGCAGCGTCGTCCGAGAATGCGAGGATGCGGTGCTGTGGTCGAGCCGGGGCGGGCGCCATGTTCCCAGGCGGCAGCGCCAAGGGCGCCTACAATTTGTCCAGGAAGTTGTCCAGTGCGGGGATGCCCTCCTTCAGGCCCTTGCGTTTGCGGGTATCAGCCACCACCTGGCTGGGGCGGCTGCTGTTGTCAAAGGGGTCTCCGGGAAGGATCTGCCAGTGGTCGAACACACACTGGGGGAAGGCTTGGCCGCCCGTGTTGGACCTCAGATCGGCGGTGAAGCCTGCGGCAGAGTGGGGAGTTCAGGGGGCTGCCCGAGCCAGAGCCCAGGACAGCCCTTGGCTGCCAGAGTCCTGGCTGGCCTCTCGGCCGTCCCATGGTGCCTGCTGAGTGCAAAACAGTGGCCGAGACTAAGCCACGCCCAGGTCACTTGGCCTAAAACCAGCACCTCACAAGGGTGCATCCAAAGGTCTGGCCCCGGCAGCAGCCACTGCTCGCTGACTCCAACCCCGAGCTCCAGCCTGAAGCTTCTACCTCGAGTGAACACAGGAACGGGGCTCCCAGGAGCGAGGGCCCAGGGCCACTTCGCACCGCGTTGTCCACCCATCAATCCCACCATGAGTCCTGGTCCTGCCGAGGGGACTGACACAGGCTTGCCGGGCCCTGGGGGTCCAAAGGCCGGGCAGGCAGGCACTCACCAAAGGACTCGTTGACAGGCAAGTAGGCCTTGACGACAAACATGGGGGTGCCGGCCACCTGGGACTCCTCGAAGACGTGGCCCCGCTTTCTGTTCAGGACACCGTAGATGCCACCCACCACCTGCTCTGGACACTGGGGGAGAAGAGAAAGGCTCTAGCGCCCGTGAGCGGGAACGGCAGGGCAAACAGCGGCGGGTAGGACAGTAGGGGTGCAGCAGAAGGCCTCACCTGGATCTCCACCAGGTAGATGGGCTCCATGAGACGCGGCTGTGCCGTGAGCACACTGGCATAAAGGCAGCGCCTGGCCGTGGGGATGATCTGGCCACCCCCGCGGTGGATGGCATCGGCGTGCAGGGTCACGTCGTGCACGTCGAAGCGCACGCCCCGCATGTTCTCCTCACACAGCGCGCCCTGCAGAGAAGGGACATCAGAAGGACCGGCCTTCAGGGCCCAGGGCACCTGGCGTCCTGCCCACCTTCAGGCCCAGGTTCCCCGACAGCAAGCCCCGCCCGGAAACGGAGGGGACAGGTGCCCGCGAGCGAGCTGCCTCTGGGCCTGGCGCCACACTCGCCTCCTTGGTGGCCCACTGGAAGCCGGCCACCACGCTGTCCTTGATCTCGTTGAGGTACTGCACGCCCTTGGTGATGTCGGCGAGGACGTTGGGCCCGGCGCCATCAGGCCCGAAGCACCAGATCTTGCGGGCCTCGGCCACGTCCCACTCGTACTTCTCGGCCAGGTAGCGCGCCCGCTGCTTGAGCTCCTGGCGAGCCGACACCTCGCCCTTGTCGATGTCCTCGGCCAGGCCGTCAGGGAAGGGCCGCGCCTTCATGTACAGGCGGTTGTGCTTGTTGGGGGACTTGGACAGGCAGAGCACATTGGACTCCTCGCTCACGGTCTCGCGGTACGACACCACCGGGTCGGATTTCTGCAGGAGTACGGAGGCCCACGATGACCACGGCGGAGGGGTGCAGCAAACATGCGGGCTGCTCCACCCCTGCCACAGACACCTCCTCCTAGGAACTCAGCACCGCCTGAGTCCACTGGAGCTCGCTGTCACCCTGAAGACAGCGGGGACAGACTTCCCACCACTCGACAGACCCCACTCCGAGGGGAGGAGACCCAGCTCCCCAGGGACCGAACGGAGAACGCCGCCGGCGGCCTGGGGCTGCACGCACCTTGATGGGGATGCAGGCGTGGTCCTCCTCCAGGTCCTTCAGGCAGATCTCCAGGTGCAGCTCGCCGGCGCCCGCGATGATGTGCTCGCCTGACTCCTCGATGATGCACTGCAGAGAAGCGTGTCACGCTCGCGAGACCAGGCGGGACACGCAGACCCTGGGGGGTCTGGCAGGGGAAGCAGGTCCGAGCCGCCCCCAGGCTCCCAAGACCAGGCTTCGGAGGAGCGCACCACAACCTGGGTCCCCAGAGGCAGCACGGACCCCACTGAAAAAGCCCAGGAGCTGCCACTTCCCACTGAGCTCGGGAACCCGGAGCCTGGGACCCGAGCAGAAAACCCCCACCGCAGGGCAGCTCCCCACAGCTGGAAGCCCTTCCGCGAGGCGTCACCCGACCTCAGGACCGCCACCCCGCTCACCTGCACCATGGGGTCGGACTTGGCCAGCCGCTTCAGCCCCTCCACCAGCTTGGGCAGGTCGGCCGGGTTCTTGGCCTCCACGGCAACCCTGACGACAGGGCTGACGCTGAACTTCATGACCCGCATGTTGTGGGCGTGCTCGAAGGTGGTGATGGTGCCTGTCTTCACCAGGAACTGGTCCACACCCACCAGGCCCACGATGTTCCCGCAAGGCACATCCTCGATGGGCTCCACGTAGCGGCCCATCATCAGGATTGTTCTAGGGAGGCAAGGGCATCCGTGGCCAGTGGGGTTCCCACAGACCACAAGGGGGCCACGGCAGGGACGTGCCAGAGCCCCAGCAGAGGCCCGATCCCGAGGAGGAGGAGGACGAAGACCTATTCTCCCCATTGAGCCCTGACTGCGCGGGACCGCACGAGACAGGTCACCTCGGGAGTCACTGGGCCCTGGAGACCAGGCACGCTCGTCTCCCACTGAGCGCCGGCCACGGGGCTCAGAGTGCCCACACCCCACTTCCCAGGGTCCCTCGGCTTCTCCAAGGCTCTCCCCATCCTGAGGGCAGCGGCCATGTGCTCCCAGGTGTCCCCGTGGCCCCGCACCTCCCAGGCGGCCCTGCTCACCTCTGGATTGGCTTCAGGTAGAGGTCCTCCTTCTTCCCGGGCGTGTAGTTGGGCCCCATGATGCGGACCTTCAGGCCGGTGGACACCAGCCCCGAGAAGACCCGCCCGAAGGCGTAGAAGCGCCCTTTGTCAGAGGTGGGCACCATTTTAGAAATGTACATCATGAGGGGGCCTTTGGGGTCACAGTTTTTAATGCCTACGAAAGAGAAGTCCGTGAAGGGCAGGTACTGACTCCCCTGCAGCTCACCCTCCAGATCTCCGGCCCACACCGCGGCCACGGTGGTTGCCACACACGGCAACGACCCCGTCCCACGCACCCATGGCTGCCTCGTCGTCCGGGGGCCCCTCGTACAGGAGCTCGCAGCGATACTTCTGGGCCGTGACGGGCGAGGGCAGGTGGATGGTGATCATCTGCAGCAGCGCGTCCCCAGCGGGCAGCCAGCGGCGCATCACGGCCTGCAGGAGACAGGACCCGCCGGGCGTCACGCAGGACTGGGGACCCCCGGACCTGCCACCTAGGGAGCTCCCGCTGCCTCTGCGAGCCCTGCCCCTTCTAAACGTGGGTGGAGGCAGCCTGCCAGCTGCGTACACCCCTGCCTCCTGCCCCTTCCACCCCTGCCTCCTGCCCCAGAAGGGGCTGTGTGCGACACGTTGTCCACAGAGCCCAGAGCTGGCCAGGGCGCGAGGAAGGAGGGCCTGCAGCCGCCCCCCAACTTAGCCCTCTGAACCCAGAGGCGTGAACGCGCCCCTCCCGGCCTGGGGGGCGGCTGGGACAGGCAGCGGAGGGAGGCCGCACCTTCAGCAGGGGTTTGCCTTCTTTGTCCTTGTCCTCACTATCCAGCTTGATGTCCAGCTTCTCGATCAGCTTTGCTGTCTCTTCTCTCTTGAAGTTCATGATCGCATCAAACACCTACGTTCACACCAGGGCGAGAAGGTCACGTGGAAGCAGCTGCCAGGCTGACCCGCGTACCCAAGGCCTGACTCCACAGAGCACACCCCGAGAGCACCTCACAGCAGGCCCAAACGAAGCCCTGCCTCACAGGCACGGGGACAAGCTTCAACCCACAAGCTCTTCTCACTCAGCTGCCCCCAAACCACCACCTTCCCTCTGGCACCCACCCTCCCAGCAGGGGCAGACCCCTGGTCCTCAACGTGGACCTGAAGAGATCAGTCCCGGCCGCAGCTGCGGCCCTCACCGACCCGAGGGCTGACGGCAGAGCTCGAGGTCCCCCGGCGGCAGCCACGAGGCCCGAGGGCCCCTTCCCATCACCACACACAGCCCGGCGGTGCCCACCCGCCGGCCACGGCACCAGGGTCCTCACCTTGAAGATGGGGTCCAGGATGAGCTGGCAGAACGTCCGAGGCAGCTTCTTCCCGTCAGGGCTGGTGGCTGACTTGCTGAACTTGCCGTTGGTGGGGTCAAAGTACCTGGAAGGGAAGGAAGGCCCGGCCCGGCCGGTTAGGGACTCTGGGGCGACCTGGTGGTCTGTCCAGGGACACGCCTGGGCAGAAGGGCTCCAGCCCCATCGTGCCCCGTTGCGGCGGGGTGCCTTCCTGGTCCTCCGCGGCCGCAGGCTCACCTGTCGCCCCACAGCTTCTTCATCATGTCCTCCACTTTCTTGGCCCGCTCGGCCGGCCCCAGCTGACCCTCGCCCTTGGCGGCAAACTTGGCCACGTACATCTCCGCGAACTGCTTCAGGGTGAACGCCCACCCGTGGAGGCCAGAGCCAAAGCCCACGGTACCCAGAACGGGGTCGATCTGCGGAGAAGAGGCAGAGTGGACAGCGTGAGCGGGGGTCAGGCAGAGCTGGCAGCACGGCCGGGCACCGCGGGGCTCAGACAGGCGGTTTCTTCAGCAGACATCAGGTCAAAGTGAAGAAGCACAGGTCATCACGTGCGCGGGCCGGCCCCGCCTCAGCCCCTCCAGCACCCAGGTGGAGGGGTCCCAGCTACGCAGGCCACCCCACGGCCGAGGGCTGGGGCGGGTTTGTTGGAACACCCTGGCCCCGCCAGCGTGAGTGGGGGAAGGCAAAGACGACCTGCAAAGCCCCGGCCCGAGGACAGGCCCTGGCCAAACCACCCGGCCCGCGCACCATGATGTTGCCCATGGGGCCGCCCTCGCCCTCGCCGTAGGTGGAGATGATGACGTTCACGTTCTCCACGATGCGCTGGCAGGTGCGGTACAGCCCCTCCGGCTCCAGCTGCAGCTCCAGCAGGGCGCGGTCCATCTTGTTCATCATCAGCACCGGCTTGATGCGCTCGGCGATGGCCTGCCGCAGCACCGTCTCCGTCTGCACGCACACGCCCGACACGCAGTCCACCACCACCAGGGCGCCGTCGGTGACACGCAGGGCGGCCGTCACCTCCGAGGAGAAGTCCACGTGCCCGGGAGAGTCGATGAGGTTGATGAGAAAGCCCGAGCCGTCCTTGCTCTGCTTGATGAAGTTCAAGTCGTTCTCAGAGAGCTCGTAGAAGAGCGAGATGGCGCTGGGCGAGAGAGGGCGCGTCAGCAGCCGGGAGCCCCACCTGGCTCCCGGGAGGCCGCCGACACCCGCCTTCCCGGGCTCCGCCCTCCCAGGGCTACTCATGCCCGGGAGACACAGACTCCCCCAAGGGAGCAAGGTCCACCCTCGCCCGGTCACCCAGGAGCGCCGGCGCCAGCCCCCTCCTTGGCTCAAGGACGACGACATCCATCGGACTCCGAAAACCCTGTGACCAGGGGGGCCTGAACAGCAGAAACTACTGCCACCCTCCTTCGTGGCTTCTGTTCCCAGTCCCAGAATAAACCCCACTGAAGGCCTCCCAAAGCCAGCCACTAAAACACTCGACAGTCACTGTCCCTGCGTTCACCCTTGCTCACTTCACCCTGCTGACACCTGGGACCAGGAAATCGTCATCGGAACAATCCCCCGCGATACCCCAGAGACAACTGACGGCTCCCATCCCAGAGATGACATGACCAAGCGTGTGTGGGGACGAAACAGTCCTGCCTCACCCCCTCCGGACCCCAGCTCCCAATCCTCCTCGCTGGGGGGCCCTCACCCCCCCTGCAGCTCGGGCCGAGGCCCCCAGCCAGTGTCCCTGGCCTGCCCAGGCCCCGAGGGTGCCCGCTCACGTCGACTTGATGGTGATGCACCGCTCCTGCTCGTCCTTCCGGGTGTCGGTGAAACGCGTCTCCCCGGCGCGGGCGGAGGCGATGATGCCAGCCTTGCACACCAGGGAGTCCGTCAGCGTGGACTTGCCGTGGTCCACGTGGGCGATGACGGACATGTTCCGGATGTTGGCCTTCTTGTCCATAATGGCCCGGATCTGGTCTACCGTGAAGTTCACCTGGGGGCGGGAGGTGGGGTCAGCCGGATTCCGGGAACCGCTCTGGCTCAGAGCGACCGGTCGATGGAACCGCCAGGCCAGGGGCCAGGAGGGGACACGCTGGGGGG